TGGACCGTGAGCCGTGTTACACATCATCTCAGATTGGAGACAAATGGATGAGAGAAATGATTTTAGGACACCCAACGAGATTTCAAAACATCTTCCGCATGTCCCAGGGTGTTTTCAGTGATCTATTATTAGATATAAAAACATCTCATGGACTTCATGGATCTTCTAGGACAACAAACCGTGAAGTATTGGGCATAACACTTTATATTTTATCACAGAACGAGTTAATGCGGGGAGCCATGGAACGCTTCCAACACTCATCTGAAACAATAAGCAGATATTTCTCAGTTGGTTTGAGTTCTCTTGTCAGTCTAGCACAAGCCATAATAAAACCCACAGATCCAACGTTTGCAAGAACGCCATTAGAGATTTGCAACGATGCCCGATACATGTCACATTTCAAGGTAGACATTCATACTTCAAATAAATATTACTGGGTTGTATATTGAAATGATTTCACTTATTCGTAAAGGGCTGCATCGGCGCAATCGATGGAACGCACGTTCATGCTAGGGTCCCGGATAACGAGAAAGTTGCATTTATCAGCCGTTCCAGAACCACAACTCAAAATATCATGGCAGTATCATAGCAGTATGTGATTTCAACATGTGTTTTACATTTGCAATGGCTGGATGGGAGGGCATCGCACATGATAGTAGTATCTTTAAAATTGCAACGACAAATCCGGAGTACAGTTTTCCTCACCTACCGCATGGTTAGTTTCTTGCTAATACAAGTACAATTTTTTTTTGTATGCTCACCTAAAGTTTATAAGTTTTCAGGGAAGTACTATTTGGTGGATGTTGGCTACCCAATGCAGAGGGGGTACCTTAAACTTTATCCTGACACCAGGTATCATCTTCCAGATTTTTCAAAGAGCCAGCAATCGTACGAGACATAGTAAAGAGGACTTTACTAAAGAGGTCTTTAATAAAAGACATTCATCCTTGCGAGGCGTAATTGAGAGGACTTTTGGAGTTTGGAAGAAAAAATAGGTCATACTTCGAGATATGTCACCTTATCCGTTTCCGAAACAGGTGCATATAGTGTTAGTCACTATAGCCCTTAATAACTATATTAGGCGGCATCCAACTCGAGCTGATGTTGATTTCGAGCGTGTCGAGGTCAATGATGAGGAAGTGCCAATCGAAACTTTTGAATACCGCATTGGCCAATCTTGATCAACGGAGGAGAACGACAATGCCTCAATTTGCACGAAAGATGGGGAGGGTGCAAATGAAATGGCAGCCCTTCGTGAGGAGATCACTACCTCATTAATTGGAGAGTGATTATTTGGATTCATATATGTTGTAAACACAATATGATTTAGGGTTTGTGTTTGTTTTCAAATAAATATTTCAATTTTAATGAGTTTTTTTTTTATTACCTAATATGTTAGTAATTATGTTTTATGTTGCATTGCTTTTCAGGATAATATGAGTTTTAGAATGTCCGCTACCTCCCGATGAGTGATTTGTCATTGTGGCCTGCAAACCCCACTTTTGACCTCACGGCAGGCACATAGCTATGGTAGGAAGTTTTATACACCCCTAAAGCATTGTCGATAAATGCAGATTTTGCTGATGGGCGGACAGTTTCTCTTACGATGAGGATGATGTTTGTAGCGATTTGCAAGTTTCAGATGACGAAGGGCAGACACGGGAGCTACAGCGTGTCATTGTTAGAAATAACATTATTATTATGCTACTCGTCGTGGTTGTAGTTTTACATTTTTTTTCATTCTGCTTCTCCTAGCTAGTGGTTGAGTTGCATTTATGTACTCTGGGCTATTTTGGATGTACGAAACTGTATGAGTTCCTACGTCTTTATGTAAGAAAGCACGACTTCATATGGCTTGAGGTGCTTTTATATATTTTATTTCTAAAATATGTTTGTAAAGTTTTATATGTATAGATGAATTAATATTTGTATACATTGATATATAGATAAAGATAAATTTTAAACCTATATGTGTTTAAAATTACAAAATATTTTTTGAAAAATATCTATAAAAATGAACGTTGAAAACAATTTATTTCATTTAATTAAGTAAAAAATAATATTTTTATAAACTTTATGTATGTTAAACTCATATTTATACAAATAAATTAAAAATTTTAAACAATTTTAACAAACAGAATTTTAAACAGTTTTAACAAATAGGGGCAGTTTGGTCATTTTTACATAAAACAGCTGGTTCACAGCATTTTTCACGCAGCTACACCAGACAGAAAGTCAACTTCCCCACAGCTGCTCCCTTGGGCAGCGCAGCTGCCACTGCTGCAGCTGAAAAGCTGAGAATCTGCAGCTGCGCCAAACAGATCTTTAGTTGATGCAATAGTTGTGATTGGTCCTGGATATCAAGTTTCTTAAATCATAATTCGACAAGGGATTGAAAAGAAGAATGCAAAATTATTGTTAAGTATAGTAGACGTTGCTGGAAAGAATGCTCTTTGATGGTTGTTTGATGGACAGACACAAGAAATAAAACATTAATAAATTTCTTATGTTATTGTTCACATGGGGTAACTTTTTTAGGTTTATTGATGCTTATGCCATTAAGAAAGATGATACTACTTTATACTCCATATTTGTTGTAAGTTGTAGAATGGATTGGTCCAGAGAATGTTATTCAAATTTTGGCTGATAAGGCATAAAATTATAAAAAAATATGAGAGCAATTGGCTTGAAAAATATAATAATATATACTTGTCTCTTTATGTCGTGCATTGCTTAGATAGCATGCCTCATGTGGTTAGATGCTTGTCAAATGTGCATCGAATAGAACAATATTTATCTATAATCATATTTTTGTATTATCTTCGTTAGAAAAAACGATGATGGACTGAAATAATGTGTGGAGCTACTTGTTTTGCCACAACTTCTATTATACTGAAGGTGTGCATGAACAGAAGCACGACTTACAAAACAGTACGTATTATAGTGACTCAAAATTTGTAAGAAATACTAATGAGAAATAAGTTCGTTCTATTATTTTAGATTATAAATTCTAGAATGATTTCTTGATTATGCTTAATTATCAAGGGCATTAATAAGATTATTATGAGCTGTTGATTCAAATGAGATGTTATCCCTTGGATATGTTTATGATGGCATGTACGTGACAAGTAAAATAACTAAATGCATATTCTAAAATGTAACGAGGTTATACAAGTCATGTACTCATATCATTAAGAGAAGATGGGATGAACAATATCGCTGATTTATCCACTCAAGTGCATATTTTCTTACTCCACATGTTCAATATAAAAAAAAAATTATTGCTAGAAAGCTGAAGTGACGGAACGATTAGTTGAAATTATTAGTAATAATGATATGTGTAATACATCTAAATTCATAATAAAAGAAATCAAATTTTATCAGGATAATTTGAAAAGTTTTGGAAATTATATTGTTTTCACAATGTCAAAAAAGAAATGCAATCTAATAATTACGACAAAACTTCATGAGTTTAATTAAGAGCATTAATTATATTGCATCTTCTTAGCATAAGTAAATTTTAAAAATGTGTAGATGAATGTGTCAAATTAAAAAATAAAAAAATAAAAAAGGCTATTCGAATTCTGGAAAACTTTATCATCATCTTTATTTGGTTGAGAAAGAAATTGGAGTATTTTTTAACAAATTCGTATAAAAAGGAGAAATTACCCGGAACATCAAAAGTTAAATGATCTAATATATATTGGATACAATCTTAATTTCAAGAATAGGTATGCTCTTTGAAATTATAGTTTATCTGTTAAGATATTATTTTAAACTATAGTAACTAATAAATCATAATCTAGAAAATATTATTTATTTTATTGGATACAAATTAAAGAAAAAAATTATGATCAATTAGACTAAACAAGCATTGAGGCAGTAGACTTATAATTAGTTCAAGATTAAGCATACTCATAAGATTGATTATGATAATTTGGAGAATGCACTTTATAGAGATGAGATTATTCTCGTTTATGAAAAAGTGAACAGACAATCAATCATTAAGTTTTCAAATATATTTAAAATAATCATTAAAAAGATAAAAAAAAAACATATTTTATAATTTTTTTTTTATTTCGACGCAGATGAAAGTGCTGGTACTATAAATGAAGTACTTAAATGTGATTTGGATGCATTTGAAGAGAAGTTTTGAGCAAGTTCTTTCTACGAGGTAGCTTCTAAAGCTAACCATTTGGATATCAACTTGAATTTTCCTTGCTTTTAAAATACTTGCTCGAGACTTATTTCATGTTTGATATTTCATATTTTGATATTTCATATTTTGATAAACAATTTATTAATACTTCATTTTGAATTATTTCATGTTTGATATTTTTTAATTTGGACATACAACTTAGAATTTTCGATGATTAAATTCAAGAATCAATGATGCTTCTTAAATATTTAATTATGGCGTATTCAATTTTCACTGTTTTTCCTAGTCTTGTATCTATTATAATTTTTAATATTCCTGGAATTGAATATTAAGTTATTCACATATCATGTACAAGTGATATTAATGTATTATTATCATCAATTCTTTTTCAGGGAATCAATTTCTTAAAAGAAGGGAAGGGTTCTAAGAATCAATTATATCACAAAAAAAAAAAAAATTTTAAAAATTGAGGTGTTTAATTATATGCCAAACTAATTTTTCTTTTAATTACACGTGTTATATTTTTATTAATGTCATTAATATCATTTTTAAATAAGTTTATAATTTTTTACATCATAAATTTGAAACACCAAATCAACTTCTAAATCTTAAACCTCCTTTTACCAGTTAAATATCCAATCCGATTTTTAGAACCTTGCACAAATGTCTATCAATTAGTTAAGTTTTTGATGCAGCTTCGAACAACTTTGACAAAATTAGGTTAAATTAAGCCAAAATAAATCAATCACTAATTAGGGTAAATTCAATCACTATTTGTAACCCAATATTTGTTTTGAGCCTTTTATTGGCACGTTGGCATTATTTATACATGTTCTATTTATTATTAGAGCTCAATTACCACAATATAGATGTAAGAATCTACTTGAGACAGGAAATGGGCCAGAAGCTTGCAAACTATTAACACCGAGAAACAGTGTGATTACAACTTAAAAAAAGCAAGTTTTCATATACACAAATGAACAATTTTAAAAAAACTGGAGCAAAAACTAAATGCATTGACTCAAAAATGAAACTTTGCCTGCTCTGGATCACAACTTCAGCTACAAGGAGCACGGCTCAAATATTTAAGACGATAATCATGTTTACCTAGAGGGTTTGATTTTTGGGCTAACCGACGATAAAATCTGCACAATAGAATAATAGTGCAAAGGAAAATAAAGGTTAAATTGTTATGTAAACTACATAAAATACACGAATAGCTAATAGTCATAAATTGTGCTGGTAAAGTCTTACCATTTCTGTAAATTGCGGAAAGCCCTCTCTTTCCATGGCTTTATCCAATTCCTACAATAATGAAAGCAACAATTTAATAAACAAAATGCAGGGTAGGAAAAAAGACCTGACATAATCTGAAGGTGATCTGTTTTTTTCTTTTTTTTTTTTTAATTTAAATTTTAAGCTAATAGAGCAAGTATTGGATAGCAGTTTGCCAAACCTCCTCCGGGTTACTGCAGCTGTCAATCTTGTATACCAGTTTTTGGAGCTCTACGTCATTCAGTGCGTCTCTTATGCCTTTCGATTGTGCTGTTTAGCAGGAATATGAAATTATTGCAAAATGTGAAAGTTTAAAATTAGTAGTGGCTGAAGATACAGTTATTGCAACCATAAAAACACTGACCAAACAAAAACATGAAATTTTAGGACTAATTTTTTTTTAAACACGGTGCTCCTACCTAATTCAGTCCTGAAATAATAACAATAAAGGGGCACTTACATACATACCACCTAATTCCTATGTATTTGCATATCGAAGATAAAACATGTCATGGCTATAGCATGCCACAACTTATTTTCTTAGCTGTGTCGTCATTCCCATGTCATATTACACCGATGTTAAATAGTAGTGTTTGTGCTTCATAATAAGCAATCCCCGTCCCCCTCACAAGTAGTGATTCTCTTGGTTTCATCTGCTAGTTGTCTGTCAAGGGTAGCATCAAGAAAGAGGTTGTGACACCTACGTGATTCACATATAGTAATCTAGTATAGCACAGGGTTACGGCTTAGGAGGGCAAATTTACTTGAATACCCTCTTTATTTAATAAATTTCAAATCACTTTATTCTTTTATTCATATGACACGGGTAAAGATGATAGTTGATGATTAATTTTATTTGGGAATCAACAATCGTTGAAATACAGAAAGATAAATTCTTAAAAGAATAAAGTATTATACAATACCCAAAAGCTAAAATTCCACATTTCCCCCATCTTGCTTGGGTATAAACTTTGAAAATGTTCAAAATTGAAGTGGATGAAAAACTCGACTAAATACTTGTAGTTGATTAAATGAACACGACAAGATATAAAAAAAAAACAGGTCCTAAAACAAAGGGGCATAGAGAAGCCACCTTAGAGCACAATAAAAATATAAAAAGCCATCGTTGCAATTTAAAGCAACTATAAATACCTATCAACTGTAGTTGATCACTGCCAAGAATCCAGTTAGTTTCATCAACTTCAAATGTTCTTTCAGGAAGCACCATAGAAACTGCAAAAACATAGATTGTACAAGCACTTAACAGTCTTACACATCCATCAGGTTACTGAAAATTAAATATGGGTATGTGATTCATTAAGGGTCCCTCAACGTAAGTCCTGATAACGGAGAATAATGTGTCTAGGAACATTATAAATAAAATCATGTGTATAACTTCATTATCACCAAGTTTACACACATCTTTATACCTAGAATTAAAGAGCAAAGTTCTACAATAAAAGGGAGCATACAATGCCTGAAACTGGTCCAAGTATAGATCACAAGAATATGATAGACACCATCAATTTTTATACATTTTAATTAGCTCCAATCTTCCAACACAAGCACTTGATATTCACAAATCAAGAACAAGGTTAAGTATTAACAAATGGCAAATCGAAAAATGCAAAATAATGTACATATGAACAGTACTGCCTTTTCAGAAACTCAAATCAGGAGACACGGGCCTCTTGACTACGTGTAACCAGGATAATCTTATAAAAACTAAAATAAGTTTGGAATACGTTCACAAGGTTCAAAAAAAATATATCGAGTCAAAATGCAAGATTCTATGAGCATAATTATGTTAGCTGCACATTTGGCCCCAAATAAAAGTATAGAAAGCACACTTGTCTCTTCCTGTGGAGTCAACGACTTCTGACATGGATTCCCTGCATCAATCATATAAATAGAACGTCATCATTGAAAGGAATAAAATAAATAAAACTGTCCAAGAATTTGCATCAATAAGCATTCACAGGGAAAGCACATATTAGAGGCCCTGTACTGATAAAACTACATGTATAATTTCTTTAGGCTATCTTCTGTAATCAACAGAAGCCTACACAAAAAATATCTCTTCCCAAAAAAAATAAATAAAATAAATAAATAAACATAAAAAGAGCTAAAATGCACCAGATAAATCCTGCATAATATTTATCAGAAACTGAGTGAACCTTTAAGGAAATTTCATTTATATTTGAAAAGTAACAAGGTCCTCTTAAAAGAAAGAATACAGAACTCAACATAGATCGTCCACAACAATAGTGAAGAATAAATTTATACTAGTGCTTAGCATATCTAAACCACCCATCTCCATTTTCCAAATCCAAAAAATTTCTTGACATAATATATGTTCTCAGTGAATAATAGCTCCACATTCAAAATACTCCAATGATTCTGTTCCAAGAACAATTTTTCACATTTTTAGTTTGACAAGTTACAAGACCGAGTGATTTAACAAAATTTACTAAAGCAATGAACCAAAATCAAAAAATAAAATATTAAAATAATATACCTTTATGCCTTTTAAAGCAAGCCGATGAGCAACTGCCCAAGGAAAAAGAAAATAAACATATTAGTAAGCAAGACAAATGATAGCAATGGCGAATATGAAGACAAATAAAAGAATGCCATAATATTAAGCAGTATAACCTCACTTAAATACATGAAAAAAGAATGCAATGTTACTCATTATATTTTGCTAGCAAATCAACCCAAATTATAGATTTAACCAAAAGAAATGACAAAAAGGGAAACTTATTTTCTTTAGTCAGAAGTACACTAATTTTAATATTTTTTACACCATCCAACATTATTTTAGAAGCATATTTAGAATAAAGAGATTAGGCAAAGGTGGGAGAATGCTTACTATAGCAAAAGGCAAGATGGGCACTTGTATTTGTATTGCGCTTCCTTGCAAACTTGACATTGTCGAAGAGCCATGTCCACAATAAAACAACAAATCCTACATAATTTAAAATCAAAAGATAGAAAAGAGACAAATATAAGCTCAATGTTTCAATGAAAGCGGGTTAGCAAAGGTTGCTACTGCTAAGAAACTATAGTGGGTAAAGTTGCAAACAACATTTTCCTATTATGAGGGGTTAAGATGAGCCCATTATAGGATTAATGGTACATTGATCTAACAAGAAAGACATGAGAATATGAAAGGAAAAATCTGGCTAGATTATGAAACAATGAATACAAGAATTGTCTCATAATCACAAGTTATTGATGTTTAATAAAACAATAGCCAAATCCACCACAAATTCTAATGTAAAATTTGTCATACCCACAAATAATAGCCAAATCCACCAGAATTTTTTAAGTTTCATTTTATCATGTTAGCACTTTCAACTAATCAAGCATCATCTAGGGCGCGCCATTTTGGGCCCATTTCTCCACTGACGCCACATCCAGTCTACAATTCTCTTCCACAAGCTCCTCCTCCTTGATGCCGAAGCAAAGGCATCAACATCCTATCCTTTATCCTGCATCAATAGCACCCTCCTATAATGTACGACATTATCATCATTGAATATTGCCAAGTGCTAGTCACTACCTATAATTCAGGTGTCCAATCCATTATGAAACTTCCTCAACTTCCTCGTCAAACTTCCCCCAACTTCCCCTTCCTTGTTCATCACTCGACATTTTCTTGCCTGGGGTGCTTCATCGTCAACATTCCCTACCTCTATTTCCTTCTGAGTCTTTAAGAAATCAACATCTATGTTAACACTCGCAAGGGTCCACAATATTGCTTGAAGCACAACCAACTGTTGTTATTGACTATTGTCATCTCCGACTTAATGGTTCGGTGTAGGCACTCCGCTTGCAGTTCCTCGTGCATTAAAATTTTTGTTGGTTGTTATTAATCTTATTGCTAGTGCTTCACAGTCCTTAATAGATTTTTTTTTAGGGAGGGGGCAGTTGACTTCTCACCCATTGTCCAACAATTTCCCATTACTTTTCAACACAGGTCAAACCCTCAACCCTCAACAAAAGCTAAACAAATATGCCCTTGTTTTCTCGAATGTTGAGATTTTTTAACTAGATTCATTCTATTTCTCTGTTGTAGGAAAGTTTCTTATGGTAGTCCCAATCTTGAGATTATATGTAAATTTATGATAAACTTGCTTTTAGTTTGTAACTTCTTTATTGATCTTCTTACTCCGCAAGATATTCTTATCATGCTATCTCTAGAAACAAATTACTATAATTTTCCCTTATAACAACCTCACTATATGATATAAATGTGTTCTTTAAATCAAAAAGTCGAACCGAACAAAGCATATTTGACTAATTTAGTTCGGTTAATGAAATCATAGTTTAATTTTTTTAGTTTTAGATTAAAAAGTTTATTAGGCATTTTTTCTCTTAGGGGAATTAATGTTAATTCTACTTGTGTTTTATGTCTTGATGAAGTGGAATCTCATAACCACCTTTTCTTTCAATTTCTTATATTTTTATTTTCTTCTTAATAAATGCATCCCAAATGAAGATTTTTTAACTACCCCTTACAATATTTCTCACGTTTTTTATCATTCAAATAACATTCATTGTGGTATACAAAAGCTTTTCATTGTGGCGCGAATGAGAAAAAAAGATTGACAATGACTAGGTTTACCACATTACAGAAAAGATGCAATAAATGAGTATTTTTGGGGTTCTCTTCATCCATCAAAAGAATATTTTTTCCCTGACATCATACTATCTTTATATTTTTGCATTTTGATTTTGAATTTGTAATCAAACCTCTTTTTAATTGCTTCTGTTATATGTATTCCAATAATTGGCTTAATACACACACGCATACAAAGAGAGAAAGAGAAAGAGAGAGATAGAGAGAGAGAGAGAGAGAGAGTCAGAAGCAAAATTCCAAACCAAACAAACCAAACAAACTAACAAGTAGCATGGTGCAACAATTAAAGTTAAAAAATTTTACATAAGGTCAAAGGAATTTGAAAACCCCAAAAATTTCACAATTTTAGAAGTAAGATATTTGAAGTGTTACTGCATTGTTTAAACATAAGCAATAGATTAAACACAACAACAACAACAACAACAATAAAGCCTAATCCTTTGTCTCCATTGTGTCCTACTTAGTGTCCAATTCCATTTAGTTCTAATAAATTAAGATCATTTTTTATAGAATAAGCCCAAGTTTTCACAGATCTACATTTGCCTTTCTTAACATAAGTCGAATCTAAAATGTCTACTCTCCTAATTGGATAATCAGGTGGTCAACGTTTAATGTGAACAAACCATCTAAGACGACTCTCTCTATTTTTGTACACACAATAGCTACCAACCCTATCACGGATATAATCATTTCGCATTTTGTCTCTAAGTGTAAAGCCACTCATCCCCCTAATCATTCTCATCTCGGCAACACTCATCCCTAATCATTCTCATCTCGGCAACACTTAACTTAGTATTATGCTTCTCTTTTAAAGGCCAAGATTCAGCGCTATAGAACATTGGAGGCCTCACCACCATCTTATAAGAATTTCCTTTCAGTCTAAGCGGTACTTTTTGTCACACAAAAGGCCCGAAGCATTCCTCAACTTTAACCAACCAACTTGAATTCTACTATTAACATCCTCATCTATATCATCATCGCTTTGAACAACAGACTAGAGATATCTAAATCATTCACATCTTTTAATAATTTGATCACCCAAAGTTACACTTCTGTCACTAGAGCTACTAATACTAAAATTACATTCCATGTATTCAGTTTTAGTTCTACTCAAATGAAGGCCTTTAGACTCGAAGGCAGACCTCCATAATTCAAGTATTTCCTGGGTTTTTTCTCTCGTCTTATCTACGAGAAGGATATCATCAGCAAGAAGAATACACCAAGGTACATCCTCCTGTAAATTTCTATCCTCCTATAAATGTCCAGTAAAACCATCCATAACAAAAGCAAAAAGATATGGTCTTAATACGGATCCCTGATGTAATCCAATAGAAATAGGAAAATATTTGGTCAATCCTCCTTCAGTTCGAACACAAGTAACAGCTCTAGTATATATATCTTTAATGACTTGAATATAAGTCATATCAACACCTTTCTTCTCAAGAACTCTACAAAGGATATCTCTTGGGACCTTATTGTAAGCTTTTTCCAAATCAAAAAAAATAAAATGTAAATCCTCCTTGCATTCAGCATAAATAGGCTGACACATACTCTAACTTCCCAGTTTCTCCTAGCCATGGGAATTGTTCAAGTGTATATTCAAATCATCAATCTCATGCATGATGCAAGTATATCATCCAGCTATAGATCCTAATTACCCATGCATGGAAGAATTGCGAGCATTTCACAAATAAATAAATAAATAAATAAGAAATAAAGCATACTACATCACTATAGACCTACATGTTTATTTTGAGTTCTAGTCCATAGAGTTTGACTAATCGCATTCCGTATAGCATGCACACCATAAATAAGCACAGGAAAACAAAAACAAAACAATGCTCAAGCATTTTTGCTTCTTGTAAAAAACTCATCATCGGTAATCTGATCAAAACTGTTAGAAGCCATCTTTCTGGGGCTTTTAGGTAGCAGGATTTAAGCACGATTTAACCTAAATCCTGCAAAACAGCAAAAATGACATCTTAAGTCCTACAGTTTCTTCAATCCTGTTTTTCCTCTTTTTCTGACGTAAATCCAGGGTTTAGTTAATCCCGTCGGAAAACGGATTCACGGGATTTAGAGGAGCTGAAGCGCGCAAAAGCTGGTGGGGGGAATGGAGTGAAAGAAGAGGGTTACCTTCCTCAGTGGTTTGGCTTATTACCGGAGCAAAAGCGAAAGGAGGAGAAAGATGGGAGTTTCGGAGGACGTTTTACGCCGCCACCCCGGCGTTGCCTTCCAGGTTGCTCTAAACGATGGTTTCGGGTAGGAGAGGCGGTTGGTTAGTGTCAATTTAATTTAGGGCCAAAATATTATTAGTAATAAACTAACCACACGATTTTTTTTAACTACCCATGCCACGATAAACTATTAAGAATTTAATAAGGATTAAAAATATGGGTGAGAGTTTTATCATAAATTTTGATATTTGAGTGAGAATTTGAAAAACTGATGAAAGGGAGTCGTTTGATTTGTGAATGGCAAGTTTTAGGTGGTGCAATTGCCCCAATTTAGATGGGATTTACGCACATAACACTAATACATGTGTGTACATATTTCTCACCAAAAATTTGATCCTTAGATATCAAACACCTAAAACTTAGACACCTAAAAAATAACGTGTTGTCTCACTCTGTTGCATTTGGTCCCAAACCAGAGCCATAAACTGACCACTCAATTCATTCGAGTACTCGAGTTGTATTCATTCTCTCTGAGATTCATTTAATTTATACAAGCTGTGATGGGCTCACTCGCTTTCATTTTGTTCTTCTTTCATAGATTCTACTTCAGGCTAGGTTCAACTTTTGGCTAGATACAAATGTTTGTGGTAGCCAAGAACAAGCTAATTGTATAGCCAAAATGTGACTTCCAAGTCACCATGCATCGAATGGTTCAGATCATTAATAATTAGATGACCAAGAACATATCGATTGGCGGGAACCATCTCGAGTGGGCAAAAAAGGTAAATTAAATCGTCGAGAGTAACCACTGATATGAAAAATGAACCACACAAGGTTGTGCGACAATGCCGAGTGAAAAAAGGTCTAGTGACCAGAGCAAAGTAACATATGGACAAGTTGTCAAGACAAAATATTCAGAGATAAATAAGCTGCTTAACACATGAAGTAAGATGTTGGAAGTTAGTTGAGCAACTAGTCTTCACACGAATTAACTCAAGAACAATTTGTCTCAAATAATGATCAAAAGGGGCGGCCAGGAGCTAAGGGGCCTACACCTCAGAATTTTGCCGAGATAGGCACAAATATGTATTTTTACAAATGTCTAACCACTATAGAAAATGGGAGTTAAATAAAATGGAGGATTTTCTCATATTTTTTGCCTTTTGCTCTAAGAGGAAACAAATTTCAATATCATGGAATTTTTCTTTAATTTCTCTTCCCCACATTTGTTTCCTCTCCCATTGCTCAAAACATTCTCTCTCTCTCTCTCTCTCTCTCTCTCTCTTTATTTACACTATATTCTTTAGGGTGATTTAGAAGCAAATCTTAGTTCAAAAGCTTAATAAATGCAGTGAGCATGGATCATGTCGCAAATATGAAGAGAAACAACATAAGGAGAAGAAAGCATCCCAAAATCATAGACAGTACAGCGTGTGCCAAAGATTTTGTGGTTGAACAGATCCAAGAACTCAAATAGCACCTGATGGATATAATCAGAGAAACACATGCCTAGAGGCTGGTTAGACCATCCCAACTAGCAGCCCCTACAGGCCATAAGAGATCAGACACTAACAATGGGAGAGCTCCATCACCATCCCAAAGTGTAAGCAATAACACATACTACCTCAACAGCTCAAGATCAGTACCCCTAGACTACAATAAGCAAGGACACATCAATACACATTCTCTAATCAGATCTCTAAAGTTTAAGCACCCAAACTCTTCAAGATCCTAATCATAGAGTCCTATCGAAAGAAATCTGACCCATTTGATCACGTTACATCTTTTGGGTAAACAATATGCTTGTTGAAGATAAATAACAAATAGAAGTGTCAATTCTTCTTCATTATTGAAGAAATTTACACTCTAGGGGTTCAACAATCCCCACTATTAGTGATTACCTCATTCACAAAATTCAATGGAATGCTTATAGTGTAGATTACTAGTGAGCAAATAACTCGAAAGAGGTCTCAAGTGTTGTTGTAGTTATGATAGTGACACAAAGAGTCCATGCATGCCTTTATAACATAATTTTAGAAAGAAATGTTAGAGGTGTGGGACTTGGAGCTCAGAGTCGCACATGCAGCTCGTGCTCAGAGACTGAGAGAAGCACCTTTTGTTATATTTTGGGTCTGCATCATCCGAAAACATGGTAGAGTTGTTAGAAGTCACCAAAAATTGCATATCAAATGAAGAAAATAACTTGCCCTTAATCCTCAAAATGATCAAGAAACTGTCATCACATTTGTAGAAGAGGAGCTCATACGGAAACAAATGAAAATTAATTCATTCTTCACAACCACCTATGTGGCCCGAATACGAGGAAAATCACCCTCACCCTTATCTGGGAGTATGCACGCTATAGGGGACAGTACACTCGTACATGGAAAGGGCATAAAATCAGAAGTGGTAAATGGATTCTTATCCTAAGAGACTGCCTCCTTAGACTCATAAGATCCCCCAAATGAACTTGTTGAGGGTCTCGATGGTGAATGTAGCAGAGAACATCCAAAATGAGGGCTTCTTTTGAAATACAACTCTAATGAGAGATAGAGGATATAACACTGACCCAAAAAGGTATTGTGACTACTAGCCGGATAACAGACATAATACTGAGAAGTGTTGAATCCTCCAGAGTCTAATCAATGAGCTCATCAAATTTGGAAAGCAAAAGGAATTTATTATGGCCTAAGTTATCACTTAGCAATAAGGAGATGCTTCAATATAAGAAGACCTCAATGATCCAACTCGAGCTTATGTCATATGCATCACGGAGTTACCAATGTCCTCTTTAGAGGGTTTTAAATTGAAGCCTCCTAATGGGTAAGCCTGAAAAGGCTTCACTCGATCAAGTTGTGTATAGCTACTCTTTTCATAAGTGGATTGTACATCAACCCCCCCCCCCACCCCCCCAAAAAACAAAAAGAATTACCCTCCAAGGGAAATCCTTATGGTGATGGGATTGTCGTCATCATCATGACCAGTAATTTTCATAATGATAGAATCCTTGTTGATGTCTGGTGTTTAGTTAACATCATTTTCAAATAGATTTTGGACAAGATGAATGTCATAGCTGAGTGTATGAGGACAATGTCATGCTCCTTCTATGGATTATTGAGAGAGAAAAGAAACATTAGTTTGCTTGCTTTTAATATCATGACAAAATTCACGTCTTTGATTTGTTAGCAACTACAATAATATCTTCCATCAATCACTGCTCATCACTTTCAGGGTGACTGTCTTGATGTATCACAGGGAAGTAAAATTTTCTAATGACAGAGAGATCAATAAAATTAGAGGATACCTAAAGGAATCATGTGCCTGCTATATGTGAGTTGTTAGTAGCATGCATCCAAAACCATTAGAGCTAGACAAGCAACAAAGAGGTGGCCTAGAGACTGGCAATGCTATTAACGAAAGTTTAATTGTGATTAGCAAGACTGGTATTTTTTTGACAGAGTGTGACTTTTAATATGTGTTTTAAAGAGAAGCTCTCCTAGCTACTTTGTGAATACCATGACATATTTTTCTGATCAAAGGAAGCATTGTTGGAAGTTTATACTAATGTCGCTTATCACTGTCTCATTGTCTACCCCTCGACACGAGCCATTAAATAGAGTATGAGGATAGAAGCCCTAGTGCTAAAAAAATTTACCAAGGAATGAGTGCAAAAATTTATTGCAGATAGTGTACATCAAGGAGGTACAATACCCAGACATGATGGCAAATGAGGTGATGGTATTGATTGTGAATGGTAAGTGGCAAACTTATGTCAACTTCACCAATCTTAATACAACCTACCCAAAAGATAGCTACACTCTATCATTCATTTAAGCACTCATAGATGCGACAGTAGACCACCTTATCATGAGCTTGGTTTAATTTTAAAATCTACTAATATTTTTGAAAATCTCTCTATTTATCTATGTTATGTGTTCAAAAGATGGGGTGTTTGGTGTAATTACATATGTTTATGATTATGTGATATTAATTTGTAAAAGTGACATGTTTCCATACTAAATTAGTAAAAACTAAAACCAATTATGCATGAAACAATGGGACTTTTGATTCAATTGCTTTCTAATATGTTTACATGATGCTAACCCACCTAATTAAATATGTTTCCATGCCTATTATGCCAAAACCAAAAATTTCTTCCATGTGATCATGGAGCTTTTATTTTTAATGCATGTGTGAACGTTTAGATATTGTTATTTGGAGTAATTAGCATTTTTACTTACTTGATTAGCCAAAACTAAAAACTATTATACATGTTCTCTCAAAATTTCTAATGTTTCTTATTCAATTCATGGGGGTTTTCATTTAATTGTCTCACATTATGATGTTATGATGTTTATTCATGCAATTCTCTACGTTTCATGCATAATCTATAGGGCTTTCTCTCATTTGTATGTTTTAGGCCAAATGTTGATCTTTTATACAAAAATTTATGCGGCTTCTTAGGTTTATGTTTAAATGTGGCATGTTACATAAAGAATTCATAGGGCTTTTCATTTTTTGATAATGTAAAGTTTTATGAACATGTTTACCTCTCTTTCTTTACCAAAATTGATGTGTGTTTTCCCAATATTTTCATTAAAATTGAAGTGTAACATCCATTAAAGTACCAAAATAAAAAATTTTAACCTATTGAACCGTTAAAATTGTGAACCTTAGTCCACTAATCTCCTTGGTCAAAACTTTATAGCCTAAAAATCACTTAAACTTCCTTTAATCACCTAACCGAGCATTAAATCCCACTTAATTTCCTTAATTACCTTCAAAATCACTCTTTGCTGAAACTTTATAACAAAGAGGATTCCATTAAATCTCAAAATGAAGTTACAAGTCTAAGGTGAGGGGCATTGAAGTTATCCCCCTGAAGTAAAAAAATAAGAGAAGGGGAAGGATATGTTAAAACAATAACTAGTTGAGATTGAGCTCCACTAAAATCTAAGAAATTAGTTGGTATGTTTCCTTCTCTGTAGATGAAAGAGAAATAGACCCTTGTCTCCATGCGTAACTGATGTATCTGGGTGATCCACTACTGTATGTGCCAAGGGGGAGTGTATTTTCCTGTCATGTAGTCCACAAGTTGAGAAGAATCCACTT